TCATTTAGAGTGGTTCGGTGTGAAATGCTTTGTTCTAGAGAAACTTATCAAGTCAAAATTGTACACAGTGGCGGTGATAGGAACAGACGTCTAAAGCATTTAATGCCGCTAAAAGCTGCACCACAAAAAGCTTTTACATGAAATGGTTACAAATATGCTGCCTAATGCCATAAACATTGTTTTACTATAGTTTTATGATAAGCGTTTGGCCTAAAATGAACAGTCATGGTGGTGAGGCACATGCAGGGTGCTATAAGGCAAAATAGTACCTACAGAAAACTCTTCTTCCTATCTTTACCACTATTTTGTCATTGTGTAGGTTCACTGGTGGTTTGCAATAATAAGTAAAATTACTATCTGTGCTGTAGACATTGTGACCCCTGGTTCCTATCACCACCACTGTAAAGAAATTTCACATCAAACCACTCTGACTGGCTTTGTTTAAATGCCAATGATAGAATTTTGCAAAAATTTTGAAAATTGGTGGAGTTCCCTTTTAAGGTAAATCCCTGTGGTTTGTGATAAACATAATGCTCTAGCAAAAATGTAGTGCCACATTAAAAAAAGGCTATAAAAACTGTGGGTGTACTGTTTTCTTTTCCAAATGTATAATTTGTAAAAATAAACTATTCAGTAGGGGACAGGAGAAAATATCAAATAAATCAAGATTTACTTTTACATTTATGTATTTAGAAAACATTGTTCTCCAAAGCAACTTACAGTTTAATCATGTTACAGACGTACACAAATGTAGCATTGGGAGTCTTACTGGTGTTGCACGGCTGCTATGTGGAGGGCAGATGTATTACCCACCACACTACACCAAATGTTGTTTATCGTCTCTCTATAATTGGTATTAATCCATCTTTTATATGATGTATCCAGCTGTTCCGTTCCTAGAAGTACTGATGAAACTCATTATGTGCTTTTCTGTGTATATAATAAGATAATTTTTCATGTTAATGATGATATGTCATAACACTGCTCACTCCTAGTAGTAATATAGAGGCTCTGTTAGGCCTCAGATCCCTCCATTCCCTTGAGACCAGCTGGAACGAGCTGAAAACAGTTGCCACAGCAACACAGCTACCGTTTTCTTGATTGCATCCCTTGGTGAACAATGCAACAATACAACAGCAATCATCTGCAATCTAGTCTAGTGCACAAGAGCACTACTCTTGCTATAAGTGCATTATGAGGAAAGACATCCTTTACCCTGGATAACTGCACTGCAATTGCCAATTTCTCACTCCTGAAAATTACAGGTAGGCTGGTCAACAGATCTGAGGTACACTTGAGTTCTATGTTTACTCTGCACTCTTAACATGTGCCTCTTATTTATGACAGCTTCAAGCCACAACAGCCAGCTGCTGAAAACTGAGCCCTCAATAAGTCATGCCAGAGGGGATTAACTGAGCTTCCAAATCAAAAGAAAACACAGTGGTGGGACAAACCACAGGGATTTACCTTAAAGCCCTGAACCTCTAGTAAAGTTTCTGCAGACGTAAATACTGTAGCCACACCTGGGTGGTACCAGCAGGAATGGGAGGTACTGGTATTAAAGTGACCAGAACGACACTGTCTCCTGATATCAGTTTTACCATATCATGGATAAAGTGATAAGCTCAATAAATGTCTTAAATGCATTTTATATATTAATGTTCCATTCTGAGTATGTTAGAGCATTCAACATAATAAAATTACAACATCTAAAAAAATTTGTTGTGCTTTATAGAGTTCCAATGCAAAGTTCTCACCAAAGGCTAATATGTTAGCCCCAAGCTTACATGCCAGTCACAATACAATATGATGTCTTATTGTTACAGCCAAATTTATAATAAGAATTATGAATACTACTACTACTAGTAATAATAACATTTTTGTCTGGACAGTCAAAATATTGTGATAAGAAGTTCACACTGCCCACCTCTGGCTACCAGTATGACAAAGTTTGGATTTACATAAACCAATATGCTAACAGCACAGTGTAAACATGAATTAGGCTAATACAGGTGACAAACAGTATGAATTAACATACAGCTTAATGAATCCATTGTTTTAAGAAGTAAAGGACCCCACACAGATCAGGTTTTCAGTGCTGTAGGGAGCTTGGTGCACTTACATGCTTGGCTGAGCTGCCTGAAAGCAGGTGTGTGTGATTACCCAGGGCCTGCTCACAACCTGTATACTTAGGCCTCAGTTATAGTAGCTGGGCTTTGTCTCTGGCTTTGCTGCTGCTGCAAAAAGCAAGACCACTCACTCTTATAAAAGATAACAGGGCAGCAGTGGTTTTGGCTCAGGGGGTTATCAGAATAACAGTTAGCACTGTGTAAACCACACGCCTAAATTAAACCAAGCCTCACACCAAGCTGAGTTGCAAAGTAATCTCAAATAGCCTTGCTTTTGTGGTTTCTGACACTGTATGAATACTGTTATCTATAATAATGGACAAAAGTACACTGTATAGCTAAAAACAGTATTAGAAGCCTGAATTTTGTCTGTACTTTTGTCCACTTTCACAGACAACAGTATACAGTGTGAGAAACCACATAAACCACTCTATCTGAGACAGCTGGGTAAACTACAAATTCTAGCGTCTAGGTTCAAATTAGAGGTGGGTGACATGGCAAAAATGCAATATCATGATATTTATTTTTTCTGCCACTTATACCGCAACAAAATGTACCGCCACATTTAAAAATACTTTAAAACTATGAATCCAGGGATTTGTTTTCAACACTTTACATACTGTGCTGCACTAAATCCAATTAAACAGGACTCGTTATTTTATTATTCTTCCTCTGTTGAGCCAAAGCTTCAGAGACGTCGCAAAAGGGGAACACTAGAGTACTCAGCAGCTCTGCTGTTTAAAAAAACACAACATGAGAACTTCATTGCTGAGCCAATTTCACTTTACACATGGGTGGTCAAACTTAATGGTAGGCTTGTTTTTTTTTGCTCTACTTGCCTTGCTCTCCTTATGTGTAGCTTGAAAAAAAAAAACAAATAGGTTCATTAAATCTTCAAATGACCTTCATACCCACCCCGTTTAACTGACTGAACTCTTTCGCTCTACAGCATACAATGCATTACATTACATTATAAACATCTGATACAATGTAGAGGTTACATCCTTTGTCTGAAATAGTAGGTGTTCTATAAAATGTGCAATAGAGTGAAAATAAATGACTGATTAAAGAAATATTTTGTGTATGTGTTTCTGCTCCAAAGGAAGAGTGTCTTCCGGTTTTTAGGCCTAAGCCACTAATCTTAAATGAGTCCAGTGAACCCAAGTCAAGAGAGGCAGACATAGCAGAGCGAGAGAAAATGAGGGCGAGGGAGAGATTGTGCAACTGTCCAGATGTTAGATTTCACAGAGGCTGAGAGAGTGTATGAGAGAGAGAGAGAGAGAAACAGAGAGAGAGAGATAGAGAGAGATACAGACAGAACAGCTCAGGATTATCTGCACTCCTAATCCTCACTCATCTCTCAATCTCTTTCACAGATAAATAACTGCAGATATTGGAGCTAACTGAAACTCTATACGCTTGAACTCTACTGTTACATAATGTCAGAATTTAAGCCAACACTTCGAAATAAGCAGGAATAAATATCTGATACAAAAACAGGCCTTAACACTAGAAATCTAAACAAGGCCCTACGAAGAACACCTGCTCATGCGGCATTTGTTCCTTCTGTTCTGAGAAGGCTTTAGATGTTGGAACATTGCTGTGAGGATCTGATTGCATTCAGCCACAAGAACATTAATGAGTTCACAAATGTTACAAACTCATGCCAAATGTACTGGATGGAGCTCCACTGCTCCACATAGGACTTTACAGCCAGCACTTGGCTCATATTCAGCTGCTTTGGAGTATCTTTTCTGTAGAGATTATATAAGCTTGAACGCACGACTGAACACCCGTGTCAGCAATAGTTAAATTTACAGTGGTTGTGGTAGGAACCAGATGTCTGAAAGAGTTCAATGCCTCGCAAAGCTACATTACATGAAGTTATTACATTAAATGTTATGAGCGTGCTGCCTGATGCCTGAGGCATTGCTTCATGGTAGTTTTACAATAAAGTTATGGCCAAAAATTTATTTTTTAAATATAACCAATATGGAACGGTACAGGCAGGGTGCTGGAAGGCAAAAATGGTACTCAAAGAAAAATATACTTTTTTGGAAGTGGAGTGAGGGTTCACCGGTTATTTTGGATAACAAATAAAACGACTGTTTGTACTGCAGACCTTGTGATTCCTGGTTCCTATCAATACCAGTGAAACGAAACCATAGTTGGTAACTTTGCCTTAGACACACCACGTCGAACCACTCTGAATGACTTTGTTTACATCTCAAAGACTGAATTACGCAGAAAACTTGGTGGAATTCTCCTTTAATACAATCCTCATCCCAGATGTAGTTGCTGTTCACCTGAACTGCAGTGTCGTGTTTCTCCAGCTTCAGCTTAATAAGGACTTTAGCTCATGATAAGAGTCAAGTGCAGTGAAAACAGTGCTGGAGAGAGGAAACACAGCTCCCTATCCAAAAATCCAGACCTGCTTCCTCCTTCATGTTTCCAAACACACTCACAGAACAGGAACTGGGTTTATTTAATGCCTGTTAAGCATCCTGTTGCTGAACAGAAACACATTTTCAACAGGGAATGACTGAAGTGGCCTTATGTTTTTGTTGACCTCAGTTCAGCCTCGTCTCAAGCATAACGTTACACGTTAGAAAACGCAAACCAAACAATAATAGTCTCCATAATTATTCTTATCAGCCTGCTTTCTTTTTCTATACCAGTTTAACACAGTAATAAAAACGAGTTAAGTTAGCACCAGCTACAATTGTGACAAAAAGCCACAATTTACAGCAAAATAACAACAAAAAAGCAGTTAACTAACGTTAAACGTGCTATTTCTCCATCTGACACTTCCTCTGTGATTCTGGAAAAAGCAAAGAAGCTAAACAAATGAATGACAAATGCTGTCCTTACCTGGCACGCTAGCACCAACAGCGGCGAGAGCGAGGCAGAAGAGCAGCCCGGGTAGGCGCCAGGCCCCGGGCAGCCCTCCGCCTCGGCGGGGAAGCAGCATCCTCGAGTCACGCTTCTAGCGGTGAAGAGAGCCAAAGACAGCCGTTCATTTCCCCATCGTCTCACAGCCACAGGAACAACTTTTTCGTCGAGCTTTTCGTCGACAGGTCCGGACTCTGTGTTCCTCCCGCTCTTAAGCCGCCGTCGCCGCTCCAAAGATAGCAGCACGCGAGGAGATTAAACTTTGCGATGATCCTACTCTTGAACGAATCGTTCATTTGAATCGATTCCACTCAACAAATCAGTGGAGCCGATTCACAAGTCCAACTGAGTCGAACTTTTTTGGAGGGTCCATACGGTTACGTCCCCGCAATCACAATTCTTTATTCGCCAATAAAAGGTGTTTTGATTAATCAACGTACTAATACAATCCAACAAAAGTAAAATATTTCGATCAAAATAATGCGAATCTTCAACCATGTCACATTATTCACCAGTGTGTTTACACTGCAAAGAGTGGCACAGTTGCAATGGGTGCTGCGTGCAATTAAATACATCATACGTAGAACAGAGGATGTACTTATGCACATACTTAAAAAGATGGTTCAGTGTTTTTTCAGTAAAGGCAATGCCTACATAGAACAATTTTCTGCTTAAGTGGTTCTTTGTATGGTGAAATGGTTCTTCAGGTGGAGAATATGTTGTATATAGAACCATTTACAAAAGGATTCTATGTGGAACCACATACAACACATGCTCTATCAATCTTAACAACCATTTCATCATGAACTGTTTCTATATAGAGCTCATGATTTTAACTAAAGCCATTGCCTTTACTAAAGAACCATTTTTTTAAGTGTGAACATATACAATATTTTAATAAAACTCTACTGTAGCTAAATCATTTCAACTTACATCATAAAATAAAAATAAAATCATAAAGTACCACATTAAAGACGTGACATTAAGAGTAACCTGCATGTGCTACTTTCTGCAGCTGTCTTTCTCTTTCCTGTTATGTGTTCATGAGTTAGGTGTTCGGTGTGTCGGCTATTTGATTAATTAATATGGACAGAGAAAAGAATCGGTTCAGTGCACCGAATCGAACTTTCCATCACCGGCGGCGTCACAGGACTTAGAGAAAGGGGGCGTGGCTTGTCTAAGAGGCAGCGCCGCTCAGGTGGGCGTATCCTCAGGTGAGCGGACAGATACGGGATGCTGTGGAACAGGTGCACTCTGGGAACGTGAGTATGTGAAGTGGCATAAACTAATCCGCTACCACTCGTTACAGCATCTACATCTTTTTATTATTATTCTTTCTGAAATTTAAAAGCACACAGTGGTGACAAAGTTGACTTGAGCTGCTAAAAAGCTCATTCAAAGGAAAAAAGAGGTTATGCTGCTCCATTTACATCTTCATCTCTCAAAGGCTGCACGTGTAACAGAAGACGTGTTGTGACATAGGTTTTTCTACAATGGGTAAAAAGAGCCTTTTGCCTGTGAAATGACCTGATTTTTCCCCCTCAAATTAATTATCTTGAAATAATTGCCTCAAGATAATTATCCCAACAAAACTATCTCGACATACATAGGGAAAACCTAACATGGCACCAAATCGCCATTCAGGCAGCTCTCCACTCAATATTATGCAAGCCCATTGTCCATTTTTCATCCTGAGATAATCATCTCCAGATAATCAATGTGAGAAAATTCTCAAATCATTTTGCAGGCAGGAGGGGTTTTTTTACCCATAAGAGAAAAACTTGTAATTTTACCCCCATGTCCTTTCAGGGGCTCCGTATTTTTATCAGTCTATAAAGACAGTATAAAAAAATAGGCCATACATGTTACATCGCTAAAAACAGTAGCGACACTATCTTACAGCCTGATTTTTGTCTCTACTTTTGTCCATGTTTGTGGGTAACAGTATGTCATACAGAATCAGAAACAACATGAGTAAGTTTATTTGAGACTAATCAACGTGATATAGTTTGAGGCAAAGGCAGTAATTTAGTTTAGGCATAGACACAGAACACATTTGAAATACTAGCCGTGAAATATTTTTCCAGTCTTTTGTTTCTTTGCAGTGTGCAGGCAACATTCTTTATCATTAATGTGTATAATATTGATATCATCTTTAATATACGATGAATTTTGAGCAGCTGGACAATAAATCAAAAAGTCAGGAAACGGGGTGAGAGTTGAAATGGTCCACTTGTGTGTGCTGTGTGTCGAGCGGAGAGGGGTTTAGATTAGCCCGGGCTGAGGAGAGAGAGAGAGAGAGAGAGGGGCAGCTGGACTCACAGGTGATCTGAGCTCGGGTCACAGGCGCCCTCTACTGACCAGTGTTGGGAGTAAAAAGCCCGCAAAATATCTGTTCTCTGTGCCTAGAACCCTGATTTGGCTGTTTATGTGCATAAACAATGAGAGAGAAAAATGTCTGAGTATCTGATAAACATGTATAGAAAGTAAACATTATGAACGAAACAGAAACAAGAACACAAAACAAAAATGAAAAGGTATGTACATATATTTAATCATGTTAAAAATAATTGTACCATAAATGTGATTTTTAAAATAATTGTGGAAATATTTATAACTGTGCCATTTCTGAATATTTAAATTTATGCCAATGTATGCACTTGTGTAAATATAAAGAAATATATTGTATGCACATACATAAAGACATGAAAGTGTTCATTTTTATATTTTTAATAAATATTACACTTGACACATTTAAAAAAAATATATCTAATACATTTCCTTTGCATATGGGCCATGAAGTCTTTAGATTTGGTTTGAATGCATTGAATGAAACACTGACAAAATAATGCCCATATTTTTCAGATATTCACCTATTTACAATAAAAGTGCATATTTTGTAATATCTGAAAATTCACCGTGATGTGAAGATTTATATATTTGTGTGGAAGAGTTCTTCATTAGCATTAGCAGGTCCATATGCATTTGTAGCACTTCACAAACTGTTCCTCTTAAAAGTTATTAATGAAGTTTTAGTTTGAAAGCACTTACAAAAGTATATAGGTCCTCCTCCATCCTCTCTCCAGCTGAGCAACAGAACCTCTTTTATAGAATTAGAACGAACAGTGTTCAAGGAAAACAATAGCTAAACAAGCAAAAAAAAGAAACAGTTTAATGAATGTTTGAGAGAGGAAAGTAGGTTTTTCACCATTGCATTGTAGGATCCTTACAGTGCTTTAAATGGGATGACAATGAACAATTCAGCTATAGAGAATAAACTAGGGACCATCCTGCTTGAGAACCAAAACAAATGGTCTCAAATAATCCATTAGTGTCATATTGTGCAGTCAAAATTCAGAATCGTCAGGCGACAAATAAGAATCAGAATTGTCTTTTTTTTTTTAAACTATAGTGATTCAATGCAGACTATAAATGAAACTCTTTATATTTCTGGGCATGAATTTTTTATTACTTGAAATGGAGAGTGAGATTTAAGTTCTTCCAGTACAACTGAATCAAAACTATACAACTAATAACACAAATTTCTAGCTAATTAGACTCAATCATTAAATGACACATCAAATGTGTAAAAATATCACTTTTGATGAAAGTATTACTGAAACATACATGAGGAACAACACTGTTCACAAGAAGAATGGGGTTATTACTTGATTTATTGGCAAATTGTGATCTTTCTTTCTTCAGCCATCAGCCTAGACACTATGTCATTCTCCATTACAGCTCTAGAACATCACGCTGGCACTTCACATCAGTGCTTCACCTTTAAAATCAACAACCTTAAATGGCAAACTTTGTCTCAAGTATACATAAAATATATTAAGAAATAAATAGAACTCCATCATATCTGTTTTATCTGCTCTGGGTAGTAAAATGGTCATCAGCAAGCCCTTGTTAGAGGTACACAGGTTGACGTCCCATTGAGAACAGGTGAAAAATAAAACAGCCAGCTATTCCTGCTTATGACAAATAAATAAAAGGCAACGATGCAACTCTGTTGATCCCAAGTGTTAAAAGTGCCAGAAACGTACACTTAACACTGCAATATTTCTCAGGTTATGCTGTAACCCTGCAAACTACACCTCATTATTTATAGATTCAAAGTTATGTACTAAAGCTAAGGATTCTCATGGGGGGGAACATAAAGACAAGATGAAAGACTTATGAGGAAAAACGGCAATAAGCTTTTCTGTTTGTAAGTGATTCCACTGGGATACAAAAAGAAGGTCTGAAACCAAGCTTCAAGAGGTTTCGCTAAGCAGTAAATGTGATGTTACCCTGCATTGAAATCCACAAAAAGGCTGTAAGCCACAAACACACACATGCAGACTTGCTGTGTTGGTCTGCTGGAAAAGTGTCTATGTGCCAAAGTGCAAGGTCGGTGCGCTTAGGGCTTAACGGGAAAGATATGAGGTTAAAAGTCGCTAATTAATTTCCATGATCTGCTTCAATGCAAAAGACTGAAATGTTCCAGACAACACCTGGGTACTGTGCGGATACAGTTGTACAGGAGGGTAAGAAACAGGAAAACATGAAACAGTACTAAGTAAAAAAATAAATAACTAAAAAGTGAAATCTGCTGCAATCTCAAGACTACCATCAATTATCTGATCGTCACAAGCCTCCTTCGCCACTGACCCTGTATGAGTGAGACTAATGCATCGGCAGTATATGAAAAATACACACACATACACAAACTAAGTGTTGACATAAGCAATGATCTGTAGTGTAAAAACAATGAAGCCTTTCACAGATGCCTACTGATTTACGCATTATCACAAACACATATGCACGCATGTGGACATGCACACATGTTCAAGTCTTAGCACTTTAATTTCCCTGATGTTACAGTACATGATAAAAATGTGGCATAAACGTGAAAGTCCATCACACTGGCCTGTTCTTTCTCATATAATCACTGTGATCCCTATGTATACAATACTGCGTTCAGGTTTGGTCATAGGTGACCTGTCTCAGGACAACCCAGAGACTTCAGGCCACTTAAAATGAGGACATAACTGAAAAAACTGACTCATTGCTATTACCGCATCCTCCTATTTTGCTGCCTCTGACAACACAGACAGCAGAAAGAGGTCTTTCTGCTCCTTTCTACCTACTGACAGCATAAAGCAAAAAAAATATTACCAAACATAATATTAACAATAATAAACAATGGAATGAAGTGGCCTGAGAGTGTGCTCTACTGTACCAGGATGCCCATTGCGCTCCTCCAGACTATGCTAACTGCAATCTAACACAGGCTCTTGCTCCTGTTAACCACCAAAATTAACCAAAACCAACCACTGCAGCACAAATGAGACAAGGCCAAGCAGTAGGGAGTAAGACTACAGCTTTGAGAACCCCTCCTTCTCGCTCTATACATCAGTACACAGCCCCAGTAACTACAAACTACACAACACCTTCCTTTAGCATAAGAGGGGAGAAAATGTTTAACCATCTGTGCGAGACTCTGCATATACAGAGCTCGTTCGACTAGCCCACGTCTGCAGGACATAATGAGGACATTTCTTGCTGTATTCTGCCTGTGTTCTCTGATCCTGGATCAGCCACAGGCCAGCAGCGGCCCTGATGTCAGTCAATGGGACGAGGTACCAGATAGAGCCCAGTTTCAAGGGGTACTCTTGGGGTCTTTCTGTTCCGAACTGCAGGGTTCCTGGTGGTCTGCTGCAGTGGGTGCAGTGCAGGTGTATGGGGGCACCACCTCTGACGTCTCTCCTTCAGCCTCAGATTCCACATCGCTCTCCAGTACCAGTCGGATTGTAGCGCTATCTGCTTCGCTGTCCTCTAGCTCACCCTCCTTGGCCAGCCGGAACTTAATGTTCAGCTTTTCTGTTTTTTCTGCACAAGAAGAAAAACATAAATGTGGAAGCATGAAGGCAATATCAGCCGGATCAGCAAAGTGAATTTAGGCTTGATGAATTATAACACAAAACTGGCTTTCTGTTGAAACTATGTACTCTGTGCCATGTATTCTGCTACATGTACACTTTTACTGTTGAGTACAGCATTTAGTCAATGTGTTTTAATGTGATCATACTTTGGTTCCCTTTGGTTTGTTCTTTTTTAGCCTTTACACTGATACTGAACCAACTGTGTGTATATTGACTATTTGAAATGGCTTTGCACATGCCTCAGCCTCATTTTAAAACTAAAACTATCAGTTCTACAAGTGCCGATCCAGAGCATTTGTAAACGTGATAGAACGCATGGACGTGTTGAAATAGCATCAGCAACTTTTTTTTTCCACGTAGATGGTCTGCAGAGAGCAACAACAGTTCATGCAGTCTTTCGTTTAATTTTGACATCTATGTTCCATATTGCGGTCATACATCAAAAAAAAATAACTGACCAGACCTTGTATGAAAGTGAAGGAAAGACCTGCTCAGGGGGTCTAGGTCTACTTCTTTGGCCAGCACCAGGGCACTGTTATCTTGCTGTAACTAACCATACTAACAGAGCAACTGCACCAGGGTTTGTTTTAAATTGAACCAAAGCAGCAAAGTACAAATACACCCTTAAATAACTAATCTGGCAAAAGAATATTTGAAAATATGCATGTAAAATATACAGTTCTGTTGATATGGAACATTAATGGGCTCTGTGCCTGAATTGAGTGAATAAGTGATTGACCGTATAAATAAATACATAAATAAATACATAAATACACAAAAATAGAAAGAAAAGAAAGAAAAGAAAGAAAGAAAAAAGAAAAAAAGAAAGAAAAAAGAAACAAGGAAGGGAAAAAGAAAGAAAAGAAAGAAGAGACATTTTTTGGACTGCTACAATGGATGCTTTTAAACTAAAAATGGCCAGTACCCTTTCCAAGCTGTCTCTCTTTTGGCAGCAGTAGGACATCCACATTTTGGTGCTCATGTAGCGCGGCAGTCAAAATAGCTCCTTCTCTGCTGAACAGAAAGACTAGCGGCACTGTGATGTCATCTGTAGACTCCCCATCTCCCACCATCTGGAACAGGGGCGTCTCAGCACTGCTGCTGTCCTCTCGCTGGTCTGGTACAGCAAAAAAGCAAAATCTCAGGATTTTAGGTAGATGGATTTAATGTATTTAGCAATAATCAGTCAATGTCCTGCTTTACACAAGCTTTGTAAGATTTCTTACAGGTTCTAAAAACAAATGTTAAAAAATATATAACCAGAGTAAAACCCAGAAGAGTAATATTGACAAGCTAACAAGGAAAACGCTGGAGTGAAACCAAGCAAAACTAACTCAAAGCTCAGTGGTTCCAGGAAGAGTGTGAGGACACAGGAATTCCCCTACCCATGTTTTCATAAAGGTATATAATTGACCACTTGATCATGTGAGTAACTGACCTATGAAAATGACTCCAATGGCCCCTGCCTCCTGTAGTCTTCGGGCTTTGGCAGCAAACATGCAGTCTCCTCTCAGGGCCAGTGCTATGCGTCCCTGCAGCTCTATTGGGTTCTCTATGTGCCCACACGCTGTGTATGGAACACTCTTCACTATACTACCCTTCACCTGAGAGAGAGTGAGAGGAGCAGAGAGACAGACATGACAGGGACCAGGATTAAGAGAATATGGTATTTATTCATCCCCAAACATTAGCATTTAGCTGAAATTGAACACAAAATTTCTATCTGTATAACAATCCTTTAAGGGTATGAAATTCCTGATATTGCTCACCCCATGCTCCTGCTTTGTTAGATCCATTCCAAATTTGGCTGGACCAGCTGTTAGTACTGTTCTACCCAAAAATGGGGGAGAGATGAGCTGCACAATATGTGGCACCACCTCCTCTTCTTCAGGTGTGTGTCTGACCTCAGCCACCAGCTTCACTCTATACACACCTTTTTGAGAATCCTTCACAAACAGAAAGGAGTGGATGTGTGAATAAAGGAAAGAGAAGACTTTGAGGTTCGTTGCTTCCACTATGACTGAAGAGGTTACTGCGAAAAGAAAACAGCAGATGAGTACTCAAGAGCAATAAAAGTGAATTCACCTGGGTCCTTGAAGCGCTGCTGGCTGCTGCCATGTCAGTAAGAGGAGTAAGAGTGATGCCCATGCTCTTCAGGAACTCCACTGGTTCCATACCAGTATCATGAAGAGGCAGCTCAATTCCCCTGTGGAGATGAATACAAAGGATGCAGTTCTTAAGCAACCAAGTGATTTAATGACTTGTTTTAACACTGCATAAGACAACACTGATATTGACAAAAGTCACATTTCAGCCTAATTTCAATGACAACTGACATAATTTCATGGGATGTGCATGTCTAGACAAGCCTCTGCTATGTGACTGTTTCAAGTAGCAGTCCCTGCAGCTAAGAAACATTATTCTCGATTCCTGTAACAATCCATGCATAAAACTGGCAAAAAAGTATTTGCACACATTGGCTGGTTGTGTAATTGTATCCAAGACATGATTCTGCTGATACCTGCATTTTCTTTGTGTTTGTAATTTCTACAAAGAATCATAACGTTAGTAAACAGGGTAGATTTATGACCATATATGCTTGTGGTCCAACCCAGATTGCAATGGAATGGACAAAACAAAGAAGTTCATATGATGGTGAACAGAAACATGAATATTAAAAAAAGAATGTTTGTCTAAATGCATAGATTAGAACCAACACAAGTTTTATGTTTAAATGAAATAAAAGGTACCTGACAGGAGAGGTGTGGGGTGCTCTGCCCACCCCAGTGAGGTATTTATAACTGTCCCTGATGGTCTTGGCAAAGGAGGGGTTGTTGGGGAACAGGGTCTGAGCACTGGGGCAGGAATGTGTGAACAGGTCCTCCACTTGAGTACTGTATGGGTCCTAAAAATACCACATTTCAAACATTACTTCAAGAAACCAAAATGTACAAGAACTGAATTAATTATGAACTTACTAAAGATTTAGACTCCAATGAGTGGTATGTTTTTGGTGAAAGTGTATCATCTAATGGTCCAACAGCAGCATTTTGAAGGCTGCAGAGTACAGTCTAAATAGTACCGCAGGGCAGGGCTATGCTAGGGTCTTACTGTGTTGTTGCCTTCACAAGGAGGCTGTGCAGTAGACAGAGAGACTGGGAGGAGGTGGGCCTCAGTGGTGAAGATAAAGTCATCAATATCAAAAGGCAAGTGACTCTTTTCAGAAAAGAGCAGGTAGAGGTACTTAAACATTTCAGCCAGGAAGAAGGAGTCCATCCTGGAAATACAAAACAGTTGTAAAGGAAAAGCTGAATCCAACTTATGCACTGGCACACACAGAAATAGAGCTCAGTTTATTATTGGATAAAAAAGCATGCAGAATACAGAGCATGCATCAATCTTGTACTTTTTCTCTGTTTTAACTGGTCTTCTCTTTCTTTTGTAATGACTTGATTTATCAAAATCTACCCTTTTGCTGTGTTAAACTCAAAAATAGCTGGCCAATGTGGCCCAGTTAAGACAGAGCCACTGTTACAGCTGCTCTTCTACTGATAGCTCCTCACCTGTCCTCATGTGCGCCCGTCCTTACATCCTGCACTGCAGCGAAGCCACAGGGAACTCGTGTATGAGTGTTGAGCTTCTCCACTATAGACTGTCCCACCTTCAGGTAGTACGGGTCACCTGTAGCCTGACATGGAGGGATAAAACTTTACTGAGTCACACAGTTTGTTAATGTTTATGGTAGCATTAATGGTATGTTCGTATGGCAGTACAACACAATTAGATTACAATAAAAACCATACAATATGTGTCATGCTTTACATACTTTATAAAGAAAGTAAGTACTCTCAGCAAACTCTGGTCGCAGAGGGTGTTGACCCCAGTGAACCCTGAACTCAGTAGTGAAAGCCTGTCAGACAAAAAAAAAAACAAAAGCAGAGTCATTTTATGGACATATAATGGAGCTCTGGAAGAAGACTTTCATTACAGTAGTTTACTATTAAATGTATGCATCCTGACCATTAAATGAACTTTTTAATTCTGTTACCTCAGGAAGAAACTTGTGCTGCTTGGTAACTTGATAAAGCATCTCATGGGTCTCTATGGCAGGCTTCAAATCTCCCCTTAAGACCTGTGTGCATGTTAAATAATACATAGGAAATTACAAAAAACGTATAGCATATCTTTATATTGAATTACACAGTTTCGTTAATATGTTTTTCCATCATCTCTCTATATGAAAAATATTCAGGAAATTCCAAAAGGCAACATAAGACTCTGAGGCAAATAAACAAATAAACAAACAAACAAATAAATAAATAGGCATAGCAAAAAAGGGCAGGAAATTTTAAAGTATTTTTAATTTAACAATGAATCAAAGTTCACAAAAAAAGTTAAAATAGAACAGCTTTTCCTTTTTACCCCAGTATTTTTCTAAACACTGAGGTCCAACATGAAGTCTATGTTGTTCCATTTAGTCTTAACAGGCTCCCACAGTTGGTCAGCTAACTTTAGTTGAGTTAATCTAAGACCATTTTTTCTCAATGGGGTTTAAAACCGGGGCTATGACCAGATCAAAACATCAGCTAAATGGATCTTCTCTCTAGTCATCTTTAGGTAAGCTTAGCTGTGGGCAAGAGTATTATCTCACTGAAAAATTACTTTTGATATATCATCTGGAAATGATCAATGGTGGGAAGTAAGCCTTTCTCTGATACTCTGCTGCAGTCATAGAACCTTGGCCTACTTTTGTCCCAGAGTGTATTTGTAATAAGGATGAAAATCTGACCTGCAGCCCAGGGAAGAAGGCCAGCAGTGAGTCCATCCAGCTGCGCACATTCACTGTGGGGTTGTGCATATGCACACTGAGCAACAAAGGTGGCTGGCTGATATACTTCATAATGGCACTGTAGTGCTATTAAACACAAAAAGTCATACACTGGATTTTAGCTGTGGCACTCAAATCATGCAAAATAATACATGGATGTCACTGGCATGTAATAATGGGTATATTTTTCAAAAAACAATATAACGTTTCATTTTCGACATTTCATATCTTTTCTTTGTACTACTGTCAATTCAATATATAGTTTAAATGATTTGCACATTATTGCATTCTGTTTTTATTTACGCTTTGAAACAGCTTCCCAATTTTTTGGAAATGCTGTTTTAGAAGAGATGGGATACTTACAGTATTAAACCTTTCGAGGTACACATTGTCTCCCAGCAGAATATATGCCTTCATCAAGTATTCATAATAGGAGTCTATTCCAGCACCGACACCACTATCTACAGAGGGGAAATGGTAAAGTGTGTAATAGATCATGAGTGCGAAAGCAGGGAAAACACAAAGCCCTGGTGGTGATGTTCTTTTGCTATTTAATAACATAATAACATAATAATAAAAACGTGGCTTGCCAAAGCTGCCGTCTGACACCCCTATGACAGTCAAACATTGCAGATATGCATGTGTGCAGCCTCACCCCTGCGGACCCAATCTCCATTATGAATGTTGATGACAGTGCCCATAAGATCACTTCCTCTCTGTCTCTTCTCCCAGAGAACATCCAGAGCTTTCCGAGCATGATCCTGTAGAGAGAGAGAGAGAGAGAGAGAAAACAGTTATACCAGTGGCTTTGTACCAATGAATAATACATACTTTATGATTACAATTTACTTAGCAGTACTGGTCTGCATTAACTAAATGGAGTATGCCCATAATAATAAAAGAGAGTCTCTAAGATCATCACCTCAAACACTGACTCCCCAGACAGTCGGCTGAGTGCCGCAAACTCCAGGATCATGGTCCCAGCACAGGCTGTGCAGGTGTCTGTCTCAGTGCCTGTGCGTGAGAGAGGGTTCACAACCCCATAGCGCAGATTTACCTACAATGGAGACATCAAATTGAATAACAAACATAAGACACAAACAACTCTGTTGACATGCACTCACCGAGCACTTTATTATGAACACCTCTTTGTATTTACACTCTTTGTGCATTTTATAAGCTCAGCTTACCATATTGGTGAACTTCATAATTCTACAATTATAGATTTTAGCCCATCTGTTTTTCTGCATACTTTGTAAGCCCCCTTTCACACTGTTCTTCAATAGTCAGGGCCCCCACAGGACCACCACAGGCGCAGGTATTATTTGGGTGGTGGATCATTCTCAGCACTGCAGCAACACTTACATGATAGTGTGTTAGTGTGTGTTGAGTTGGTACAAATGGATCAGAAACAGCAGTACTGTTAGAGTTTTTAAATACCTCAGTGTTACTACTGGACTGAGAATAGTCCACTAACCAAAAATATCCAGCCAACAGCGTCCTTCGGGCAGCGTCCTGTGACCACTGATGAAGGACTACAAGATGACCAACACAAACTGTGCAGCAACAGAAGAGTTACTGTCTCTAATTTTACATCTACAAGAGGGACCAACAAGGCTAGAGTGTGCCAACAAGGCTAACAGAGTGGACGGTGAGTGGACAGTGTTTAAAAGTTCCAACAGCACTGCTGTGTCTGATCCACTTGTACCAGCACAACACACACTAACATGCCACCACCAAGTCAGTTGCACTGCAGTGCTGTGGTGGTCCCGTGGGGGTCGTGACCACTGATGAACAGGGTGAAAGGGGACTAACAAAGTATGCAGAGTAACAGATGAACTACAGTCTGTAACTGCAGAACTACAAAATACCCCAATATAATAGGTGGAGCTGATAAAATGGACAATGAGTGCAGATACAAAAGTAGAGGTACCGAATAAAGTGCTTGCTGAGTGTATGTCAATCTGTTGCCCTCATCCTAAATTTCTTTTTGGTATTTTATCTTTTCCCCTGAGGTTAACTTATTACATTTGTGTTATATTGTACCGAAAACAGTCATAATTCAAAATTTAACATGACTATTTTTCAATCTCTTTTTATCGCTTAAAATTCAACAGTTTTTTTTTTTACTGTGCCTTTAAGACTGACATATGTAAATAACTGTTGTTTGGACTGTTTGTTCTGCATCATGCTTGATTCAATAAGCAGTTCGGGTTGAAACGCTCTTTATAACTTTGGCGTGAATAGGCAGAGCCAACATGCTGTAGGCTGAAAAGACGGATATATTTGAATGCAATTGTTTTTGTGACATCAGGAAAAAAAAAAACAGCTTTGTTCCCTCCCATCTCTGGACTGTAAGGACTGGGGAGTGAATGATACATTTTGAAATTTCACCTATATTTACATGCTACAGTAAGGTCTTTCATCTCCAAAAAGTGAGGAAATTATGTTTTTCCATGATTTGGACCCTTTAAGAAATACTGTAGACATGAATCAAGTACCCTTGGATAAGGAAGGCCACTAGTGGTATTAAAGGCAGGCAGTAGGCGGTAGCCCAGGTCTTTGGCCATATGGAGCAGCTCATCCCTGTACCACTGCATCCTCTCTCCCCGCTGCTTCAGCAGATCAGCCATCACATGTGCCCCTAAAAGGCCACTAAAGAAACAGCATAACAAAACCTTACCTTTAATGGACACTTTCACTGCATTAACTTACATTTTCATAAACTACAAGTATATCAATTGCAGAATGTGCTTAGAAATACTGTAACCATATAAGCTTCTTTGTTAGCAGATGTGATGCAGATTCAGTCATACCCCAGAACACGGATGTTGGTCTCAAAGACAGACACCACCACATCATTGTCCAGTCTTACATCTCTAACAGTCTTTTTCACAGCCTCTTCAAAGTCCTCCAGTCTGTTTAGCAGCTGTGCAACAAACAAAATAAAGCACACTGTAAATAGCAAACAAAAATGACACACAAGCCCATTTCCAGATTTTTTTTTCTTCGAAAAAAAACAATAAAAATGTCTGTTTCCACATTTGATATGCTGTGTTTACTATTTGTACTATTAAATATACGGTTTAAATGATTTGCACATCATTGCATTCTGTTTTTATTTAGAGACCTGTTTCCAAAATGTTGGGACACTCTGACAAATGTAAATAAAAATATAATGCAATGATATACAAACCATGTAAACCTTATAACCAACTGAAAATAGTACAAATACAAATCAAAAAAAGTTGGAACGGGGGCATGTATACTGCTGTATTGCATCACCATTTCTTTTAACAACACCAAGCATTTGAAAAATGAAAAGATCAATTGCTGTAGTTTTGACAGTGAAATGTTTTCCCATTCTTGCTTGATATAGAATTTCAGCTGCATGGGGTCTTCTTTGTCATATTTTTAGTTTCATAATGCCAAATGTTTTCAATAGGTGACAGGTCTGTATTGCAGGCAGGCCAATGCAGCACCCGGACTTCACAGATGTGCAAGTCACCCATGGCTGGTGCACTAATGCACCCTCAAACCATCACGGATGCTGGCTTTAGAACTGTGCAGTAATAACAAGCTGGATGGGGGTTGTATATGTCACTGTTCAAGCTGAAGTAACTCAGGAAAAACTGAGAGGTACTTTTGCAGCTCCAACAAAAAGGTTAGTAAGGTGGCCTTTGTTGCAATGAATACTCACCACTAGTGTATCTAAGGTGTCAATCAATGTCAGAGAAAATCTGAAAGGAACATATATGTGCAGACAATTAGATTTTCTTATCAATAACCAATTTCACAGGGTTTCATGAAAAGAACAGAAGTTCTAACTTCTGACTGGTGCTATAATAGCTTTAGAGGGCAGCAGTGAATGATGTTTGTTTATTTGAGCTTGAGCGGTTTATGTTGTTAACTGGTAGCTACTTAGGATGAACAGCTGGGAGGCAATATAGCCAATCTGGCCACTTCAAGCTTGTACTTTCATAGTCACAAACAATGAACAAAAAAAGACAATTAAATTGTTAATAACAATTATTTACATGCCAATTGACTGAGAGCTAAAATTTCTGGATTGTGACAGACCTGACACTGACATTAAAAAGCTACCTAATCAATAAATGCTGACCAACAGTAATACGATATGAAGAAACACATTTAAGCTTTCAAATAACTATCACAGCACATGGCAAAATCCTAAAACTCCAGTGACACAGTGAATTCAGTAGACTGAGATATCATGAGGACAGCACACTTTGGATGAATATGCCACAATATTTTGTTTTCCTGAAGCTGGAATTGGAACAGACACAATGCACCAGCAAAACAGTGGTACCAAGTTCTAATAACACTATCCAAACAATGACTAGAATGATTTTTTACATTTTATTTAATGTTCCACATGCTGCCCATCACTACATCCAGTTAACAAAGAACAAGTATGCCCTCTTGAAGTCCTGGCATCATCAAGATTAAAACAAACTGACAATAAAGACCTTAAACATCTTCGGCACTTAGAAGCTCAGTGCCTAACTATTTTTAAGTGGGCCAGCATTCTTTAAATACAGACACACTCTTGCAGCCATATCACCCAGCCCTAGTGCTTAGAAAGCTGATCTGATAGCACTATATGATCCATTTCGCACTATAAATAAGGGGGGTGTGTCATGTAGAGGGAAGAAAAGGACTCACTTTCCCAGAGAATCATCGATGTCACCACGATTGGGCTCCAATCCTCGAACTCTCCCTCTGCAGCTCAGTGGCATCAGCTCATCTGCTGGGTATGCATATTTCTGGAGCAGAAGAACAGAAATGAAACACCCAGAATCAGCAAGGCAACAGGCTAGAAAAAAAACACTAAAAACTACAAGTCACATGAGAGAGGTGAGGCCCTTATCAGCTGAATGACAAAAGTTACTGTCACCACAGTTACTTACCATGTAACTGCCATAAGCATGATCAAACATCTCCAGAATTTGTTCCCTAAAACACAAAACAAATCAATGAGTTTAAAGACAAACATGCTTCATAAAGCAGGTTAATACACCAGCTTAAATAAAAGAAGGACACATAAGAGGTCTCCACAGTAAATGACAACTGCATCTGAATAAACAACTCAGCAATTCACAATGTGGCAGAAAATAAGTCTGAGATTCATTTCATAGCAGTCTCTCACTCTCACTGCAAAAAGAGTGCTGTATGTGATTAAAAGCAAGCTGATCGCAAGTGCATTGATGACAAGGAAATGAAAACTTGGGCTGAAAGATTAATCGTTTTTATATCAAAAGCGCAATTTAAGTGCAATTTGAGTGCAATTTTCAAAGCGCAAGAGCTGCAATTTTTCTTTTTAAATAATAGCCTACACCCTTAAAAAAAGATGGTTCTTCAAGGTTCGTAAAAAAAAAAACGGTTCTTTAGTAAAGACAATAGTTCTTTATAGGATCATGAACACTCCAAGAACCACTGCATGATTAAATGGTTCTCTGCATGGTGAAATGGTTCTCCAGATTGAAGGAGAATGTGTTGTATGTGGTTCATTATAGCACCAAAAAGGGTTCTGCCATTGTTACAAAGTCAAGCGCCCATGGTTCTATATAGAACCATTGTTTTTACTAAAGAACCCTTGATGAACCATCTTTTTTAAGTGTGCACATTATCAAAAATGTTGTCTTAAGTTTTTAAGTTGGGAAATTAAACCTAATAACACAGAGCTTGTGCACTGCCTGTACATAAGTTAGACCAATCAGAGGCAACCAAATCTCCATGTGTTGTGACATCACAACCATGATCACTGGCACACTACATTCAGAGGTCGAGCCTCAAGCCAGAAGAGGTGCATATTATGGTTTTATTGGCCAAAAAAATAAGGCCACAATATTAGCTGGAAAAATCACAATCAGATATTTTCCCCAAATCGTTCAGCCCTAATCTTACGTCACAACAAATCAGAAGCAAGGACTTGAACAAGCGCTGCACTGTAGTCAGGCTGCCTGCGTATTGTTTCAGTGGATGTGGACAGCTGCTTGTGGTTTAGCATTTGTGGAAATTATAAGGAAATGTGTCACAAGCAGGGCTGCAACAATACATTTTTTTCAGGTTCGACAATTTTAGATTCAGAAGCTAAGGTAAATTAGATTTTCAATACATTTTAAGCATTAAAAATGTCCTGATTATACAGAGCTCCAATTACATACTACACAGACTTGTTTGGCTCAGATAAATTACGGCAAATTTAAGACCCACTGAAGAGAACAGAACAGAAACATTAGCCAAAATCCTGACTAAGGAATTTGTCCTTACCTGGAAGGCAGTAATCTCTATTTTAGCTCATCTTCTGACAGCACATAATTAAATCCACCAACCCAACAGAAATTACAGCGCACAGTCCAAAGTCCTCAGGTGAGAACATGGAATTATTTTTGTTATTACAGCCACAACAGATTACTGGTTTCAGCCTTCAGACTGCCAGTCATATTAGATATCTTCCACATATTCAATCTACAGGTTTTCTTACCCTACCTAAGCCAAATTTACCTTCGGGGATTAATGAAGTGAAATTATCTTTCTGATCCTATCTGTGAATCATCATGCCTAACCTTTCAGAATTTGATTTACCAACCACATATACATACTGAGGGCCATTTCAGCTCATGATGATTCCTAAGGACAGTGCGGCCTCACATCTAAACACTATTCTTTTTTTGGATACTCCTTTCCAAGAGACTATGCTGTATTGGTCTTGGGAGACAGGATTTTTTTATCTTTGATAGAGCATTCTCATCTAACCAGTTAGAAGCTCTAACCACTCCTTTTTTTGTTGAAATCCATGACTGAACAGACATCTACAGTCAGAAAATCTAACTGCAGGTATCTGTTCAGTCATGGATTTCAACACAAAGACAAGTAACCACACGCTTAAGTATTTTTTATTTATTTATTGCTTTCAGTTATCAGTGCAACCCCCCGTAGCAGTCTAAGATAAGGATTAGTGGGGCATCATTGATTCAACCTCCGAAAGCTCAGGTCACACAGACCTGGAACACAGGCCAGTTCAACAGGCCTAACTATGCTTGCGTTAAGCAGGCATGAGGATGCAGTCATGTCTGACCATTACCCTAAACTAACCCTAACTTGTTGCCAGCATTTGTCTTAATGAGTCTGTTATGAGTCATGAAATGAGCAAAACCATGTTACAAACATTCTGTTTCGAACGGTCTCAACAACTCTACAGGTCAATCTGGGATGGTGAAATACAGGCAAAAAATGGCAAGCTTAAAGAAACTTACCTGACTTGGGCCTTTTCTTCAGCAGACATGGCTTGACCATCTTGAACAACAACGGCACACAAAAGGCCACTAAAGAATACAGCTGCCAGCAGCATGACAAAAGCCCTAAAGCTCTGTGAACCTCTCACGACTCTGTTCCCCATTAAAGCTTACACCCTTGGATTGCCTGCAACTCTTTACTAACCTATCCTTCAGATATCAGCAGACAGTCGTCCAGGGGGCAGCGTTTTCAATGACTTTCTGCTCTAAACTCACTGTTATGTGAAGTAAACTCCTGACTAAGTACTATTAGACCAAGTACCAGCCTCCGCCAGTCTCCCAACTCAGCCGATCATTTAAAGATTCAAAGCAAAGGCAGTGTAGCTGGTCAGAAACCTGGCAGCCACGGGTAAAGTAAATAATGTAACGTTAGCTAATTTCTACCTGGCCAGCTATCTGGACAACTGTGAGCTGCTAGAACGACACTTTTTGAGAATTACAAGTGCTCCAGAAAGCAGAATCATACGAATAAATATTTTCGTCTAACAGACTGTCAGTGCCGACGGATTAACGTATAACTGTACAACTGACCAGCAATTAGCTTGGCTGCTAGCCTGCTAACCTAACAACCAGCTTACCTACATGGACATTCATAGCTAACAGCTAAAATGGCCGGATTTGAAGTTCGCCGGATAAATGTCGCGGTGTGTTCTTCTCGACCGCATCGAATTCGAGAGTGACTCCATCTCAGCTTCGTTTACACAAACATTTTCTGGGAAGTAACGCGTGAGATAATCTCGCCCAGCGACTTGGAGCCCGTCGGGAAAGCTTTACAGTACACAACTAACAGCTAGCTAGCTAACTAACTCTGTCGGCGGACCTCAAAGTGACGCCATCATTAAGAGCGAAGGGGCGGGAACGAGCACGCAGACAGGCCGACTCTCAAATGGCTCCCTACTCCCTACGTAGTAACGTTAGTATAATAATAACCACTCCTGCACACAAACAGTGCGTAATATGTCTAACAAGGGGCCACGCAGGATTCAGCCATGTGAGCACAGTTCCCCACAGGACATGCAGTGCGCTATTTGTGTGTAGAGGCCAAAACTCACATAGTGCACTATGTAGGGAGTAAGGAGCCATTTGGGATGTAGTCAGTCAGACATTCAGTTTTCTGTCCACCACGCACATACTTACAGACACAAGTTTGTATGCTTGTGGGGCTATCCACTGGGGTTTTTATTAAATATGTAAGCAGTTGTGCCTTAACTATATTAATGTTTAAATAATTAAAAGTGGACCTGAAATATGTAATTGATTTATTTTTTTTTGTAATATGTTTAAATTTAAGTGAATTATTATCATTTGAAGACAAATGTGCAAATGTTTTTCACACCGTGTACACACACAAACACACACACACACACACACACACACACACACACATATATATATATATATATATATATATATATATATATATATATATATATCATTATTTCATTGAATATATAATTTGTATTATGCATGATATATAAATATGTATATAAGTTGGGACAGACATCAAATTCCCTTTTAATTACACGTTTTAACTCAGGATACTAATTGTTGCAGTTGATGCACCACACATTTTCAACAGGACTGCAGGCAGGCCAGTCAAGCACACATACTGTGTCCACGAAGCCACGGTGTTGTACCGCAGAGAGACCTATACGTTATATAAATATTGTTTTCCTGCATAATGATTATGACACTCTTTATGGGAAGAGGCTTTTTCGTGAGAATGACTCATGGGCTGTTGTGCTTAGCTCGGATAAGTAGAAACAGACAGACAGACAGACAGACATACAGACAGACAGACAGACAGACAGACACGCACAACGTTCAATAAAAACATACAAACCAACACAAACTACACACTCTTGCGCGTCTGGTTAGTGTATTTTATTGTTTACACTGTATATTCCATTGTATGTATTATTTATGTGTTTTGTTATTTTCACCGTTTCTAAGTGAATAAACCGACGGCGTGACTGACCAGTGAGTGAATCACATGTCCTCGCACATGACTTTAAATTGCCTGGCTCCTGTTTTGGACTGTGCAGGGAATCCGTCTCGTAATACGAGCGCGCTGCGTTCAGTTTTTCATTCTGATGAACGCAGAGCTTTTTTCTAGCGCATTTACAGATGGATTATTTTATCTTTGGGCAGGTCACACTGAAAGACTACAACTCCCAGCAGCCCGAGACACTCTCATGAACAGCTACGTCATGATGTAACGGCACGTTTTGTTTTGTCCGCCTAGTTCTCAGCTGGTTAAGTTGCCACAGAAGAAAATGTGGGAGAAGTACGGTTCTTAGCTTGGTAGATTTTAACTAATACTAGATTTTATGCAATATAATACACGTATTTGCTCTACACAGCGGAAACCTAGATTCAGGAAGAGCTGCCGCTTAAGTCGTTCATGGTAAGTCATTATAACTCTATGCGTTTATTTGCAGTTTGAGCCTTTTAGTTATCTAGCTGTATTTTGTGAATGACAGCCTGGCTGCTTCTGCAGTTGTACCGTCATCAGCATACAGGAGGATCCTTTTTCAGTCTGTTGTCCACGGGTGTGAAATTTGCCCCAGTCATATTTATCAGTCAAAAACTGACAGATCAAAGACGTTTATGTGGTAACGTATATTCATTTTCAACATTTTCAAGATTTCATATGCTTTCTGTGCCCCCAAATTTGATAGTTTTCTGCATGCTGCACAGTCAGAATGTGTAGTTAAAGTGTAGCAAGAGATGAAATGAAATGTATTTTGAAAAGCAAATAGAAGATAAAGCTTTATTCCTCACGGAAGGCAAACAGTAGCTCAGAAAGGCTCTGATAGCTTATCATGCTGAATTTCTATAGTGGCAGATGCATTGAACTGCAGTGTGGGTTAAAGTACATCTTTTCATTTTTAATATACCAGTATAGCTAACATACGTTGAGTTTTGGATACAGGTATGCTGGTTGATCAGCATGACTATTCTGGGTGATCAGCTAAACCAGCACCAAACCAGCACGTATTTCAGTTAGCAGGGAATTTTTTGTTAATCTTTTTATGATTTTAGTTATAGGGTCCTGCATGAAAGACCTGTCAAATAAAGAACATTTGTCATGTCGATTGAGAAAGTTTTTCATTTCTGTGTTTCCTCTGTTGAATTCAAGTTGGGTGGGACTATATTGGAATATGCTGGGCATGAAATGCTCCCTCGTACCAAGCAGAGAGTATTAGGGCGTATTTTTTATTGACTGTCCTTTTGCCACACTGACCAGAATCTCTTTAGTGCCTCACCGACTACCACTGAGCAGAATAGATAGCTAGCATTTTAGAAAAACTCTTCACCAGTGGCAACATAACTGTAATGCTCAGCTTTAATAAAAAGATGTCTTCAGTGCCTTATGAAATTAAGTATTTTCTTCTACAAAGGCTACCGTAGCTTAATTGATTTGTCACCACTCATAGACGCTTGGTTATAGTACTATAGTTTACTTTATACTTTTTACATATACTTTAGTAAATGCTACTGGTGTTTGTATGCTTGGCCAAATCCTAGTTGTGTTGGCCACGAACACTTACCAACACCCTTACCATAGTCACTCCCAGTTGACCGTAACTTTACCCCCGTAATATCTCAAATAGAATTAAAGTCTGAATTCTTCCATAAAAAGCTTTCAATGTTGGGGGAAAAGCCTGCTGTCGTGGGCTTGTTTATGTTTCAACAGCTTTTCCACTGTCAGTCACCATGTGGTCTGTAGTGCCCGCACAGTGCAGATCTGACAGAGAGTTTTTTTGTCTTTTAAGTCCATTTGAGAATTTAGGATTTATTTTCTTAAAATATTGGTTAATCATCAGGTCACAAATCTTCAGGATCAATGAGAGCTCAGTAGAGTCAACACACACAAAATATTAAATTAATTATACACTATAAAATACCTAAGCTGTAAGTAGGTCAAAGAATACATATTTTCCACTCAACTGTAGTTTGCACTTTATTTTCTGCCTACCTTCTGACCTTCTGTTCATGCACATGTTCTGCATTTATTGCCTAAGCAGTAAACAGTGTTTTGTTTTACTGTACACAGAACACAGTCAGGCTACTTGGCATAAAGATGTTAAAATAAAGTTGAATTGAATTGAAAATCGAATTGAATCTTGACCTCAGAATTAAAAATCATATCAAATGTGTCATTACACGTCTGTTACTTACACCTTCCAGATTCTTTTATTTTGCTGCCATTTAATCTTTTTTCCCCTTCTTTTGTGCATTTCTTTTCTTTTCTGCTCTCAGATATCTATTTTATCACGATCCCTTGTAGTACTTTTCCTATAGGCCTCTCAGTAGGCATGCTGTAACTTGAGTGATAAAAAAATTGCCAAGTATATAAATTTTGTTTTCAAATTAGTAAAAACCGCTCTTAAACGCTAGGGGCGTGACCGCCGGCGGCGCTGAAACCACGCCCAATCGCGGGAAAGGTGCAGCCTCTGTTTAGCTTCGTGTTCGACAGAATGTTATTGCTGCACCATTTAAGGTGGAACGGGAAAATTCCAACAAAGAACCTGACTTCAGCTTCGTGTCCGCCAGAATGTAACTGCTGCACCATTTAAGGTGGAACAAGAAAATTCCAACAAAAAACCTGACTTCAGCTTTGTGTCCGCTAGAATGTTGCTGCTGCACCATTTAAGGTAGAATGGAAAAATTCAAACAGGAAGCTGATTTAAGGCTTGTGTTCGTCAGAACGTAGTTGCTGCACCATTTAAGGTGGAACGGGAAAACTCGAACAGGAAACTAAGCGTTTAAGTGTTGAAGTCGCAGCACTTTAGGACTGGTTTTAATCAGTCTAGCACTTAATATGTTATCAGAATTAAAACAGTAGAATGATGGAATTATTGATAACAGTTTTCTCCTGGGCATCAAACAGAAGCATACTCAAATGCCTGATATACCCATACAAACACAAAGACCTTCAAGAAGTGATCATGTGATTGGTTTTAGGTTGTACGTATCATACAGGTTAAGAAAGTTAACAGGGTCTTGTTGTAATTACCTCCCTCTCTCTTCTCTCTGCTTTCAGATGTATTTCGAAGGATCCAGCAATGTCACGTTGCTGTTTGACTTCTGGAGTGTGCACGAGCCAGGAGGTACACCAAAATCCCGAATAATATCCAGGATTAGCCAGCAGATATGTTCTGTATTGCGGATCCATTTTTGTCCCCTTTAACTTTTATTATTTCAGTGATTAAGTTCATATAATGTGATTTGCTTTGAGTGAATCTACTGGAGCTGCAGTTCAATGAAGCCTTAAAGGCTCCCCAATATATTTAGTTCAAATTTGCAGTTTGACAGCATGGCCTGTGTTACAGTATAAAATATTACAAATAATCCTTTCCTTCTTCTGCAGACCTCCTAGTTGCTGTTCCACCTCGAATATATACATTGATATTTTTAACTAGTATAATCAAAAGAAACATTTTCCCTGTTACTCTGTAATCAAATTAACCTGGTCTCTTCGTATGTGAAATGTGACTGCTAGTGAGCAAAGAGGAGGGGAGAACCCCCTGTTGTGAAAACATTTCCATTGAAATATATTTCATCAGTGAAGAAAAAATGAGAGACCTCCTCCAAAACCTGTGGAAATTGTGTTTTTTGGCTTCTGTGAAAAAGACTTTATTAATTTTTACATTGTTCCAGTTTTTAAGGGGTTGGAGGAAAAAGAAATTGTAGCCTCATAAAGAGTCCTGCTGTAAAATATTCCTGTCATATTTGGGATTTACAAAAACAGGGCACAAGGGGACAGTGGACTTTTCCTGTTGTTCCAATAGCTTTTACTTTAAAAGCAGCCTTGTGGAAAAGGAACCTGGCCAGTTTCCACAGTTGAATGAGTGCCGACTAAGCATTTAACCACAAGAGAAACCGCTCCCTCATAACCTTAACCCTGCGAAAGTTCACTGCGATCAACCGGTGTGAGAACCTCACACTGGTTGAGTTTCGCTCTCCTGCCAGATATAATACTAGGGGCATGAGCAAACTTCCTCTTTTGGCTGTTTCGATTTGGTCATTTTATCATACAGTTGGTGCTACAGTCCTGGCACATCAAAGACCAATGCACACCTGCTGTGCTGTATATGAAGCCTATCAACAAAAAATTTAACCACTGACCACATCGCAAGTGTCTTCGACGAGCACCTTCTTCAGTCACAGGAACTGCTAGAAGCCTCTATCTTATGTTGTGGATTCTGTTTCTAGTTTATATCATTCTTTGGTTCAGAGTAACAGTGCTTGTCTATAGTTTAGCAACTTCATGTTCGAACATTTTATAACTTTGTACCCTATTGACAACACAACCTCTGCCCACAGGGATGGTATTGTCAGTCTTTGTGGTTCTGCTGCTCACAGTAATCTATGAGCTCCTGAAGGTGTGGAAGAACACTCTGGCACAGCAGTCCACGCATCCCCCAGCCCCTTCCACCCCTACAGCCATCTCCACGTCTCCCCCGTGTTTCTCCCCAGAGTTGGAACATCCAGAAAACAGTCCCACACTAACTAACAGCCCCTCAGAGATCTCTCTGACTCCTACTGAGAATACAGCCACCACTGCTGTCATCACTCCCACCATAAACAGGTATGTAATTCAACCTGCATGAATAAAGGGGTTTGTTAATGGCTTTGTTTGACTTATTAAAGACTGTTAATACAAAGTTTTATATTGTGCTGTGATCATCCTGGACAGCCTTGGGTGAGATGAGTTTCTATTGATCAAAGGGTTCACATAGTCCAACAGTTGTCAGTATTTTAGGTCATAATAATGCAGGCCAGTCTAACCAAGTTATATCAAAATGTTTTAAATGTATGAGAAAGCACATCACACATTTCACATTTTTAGCATGAAGTATGGAAATACTTTGTTAGTATCGCAGCACATTTTCACACACAGAATGTTTGCTAAATGTTATGAGTTAATGTAAATTATGAAGCATATTATGAGTCAAAATACCAGTTTGATTAATGCCTCACGTATTAATGTATAAAACAAAGCTACTGAATTATAATATTACACACTCAAAAACAAACTGCATCGAAACTGCATTGTATAAACATTAAAATACATGTAAATAAATGTGGTTAATCCATCGCTTATGCTTTGTTTTTATAAATATCTGTCCCACAATTATATGTTCTTACCAAACACTGATCAAATGATCTTTTGCACAGCTAAACAGACCAGCTTTCACTGGAAACATAAGTTAGCTAAAGAACACAAAAATGTGAGGAACCTTATCTAGGAGTCACGTAAAGCAAAGTATGTTTTCATATTCAGTATCTTCTGAATGTCTTTGCTGTGCAGCTTATAAGTAATATATTTTGAATTACACTTAAAACAAGATGTGAAGTGAGCCTGCATCCCTGTCCCTCATGGCCTGTTAGATCCCATTTAGAGTCCAAAATTAGCTTAAATTGTCGCCACAGAAATATTCAGAATGTTCAGTCATTTCTTTTTTTATTTTATAAAATAAACATGAGTAAGACATACACTCTCAGAAATAAAGGTACAAAACTGTCACTGGGGTGGTACCCTCAAGGGTACATCTCAGTACCTTTAGTCAGGGAATGTAATTGTACCATAATCCATTGACATTATGTTTTCAAAGTATGTATTGACTCCACACACCCCGTCTCGTCTCCAGGCTTTTTATTTTATTGTTCTGTTTTAAAACTTTAGGTTATGAAAAGGTACAAATACATACTTTTCACCCGGGAAAAACTTATTTAGGTACACAATTGGACCTTAAAACCACTGTTGTACCTTTGAGGGTACATTTACATTGTTTGTACCTTGATGAATGAAAAATGTACCTGCACAGAACCTTTATTTCTAACAGTGTAGGGTCGCTCAAAGCAAAAGGGTTTAAGTCTAAAGTCCAAGGCAGTTAAAGGCCAAAATGTGTTTTCAGCTCTGACTGTAAATCAGTTAAGCAAAATGATCCATATAAGTTATCTGCTAAAGTTAATGTAACAGGCCATGCTGTTTTCAGTTTACACTCAAAAACAATGAAAATGTTTTTACCATGATGTCGAGCTGCAAAATTATAAAAATGATATGCAATTTTGTATGGCTCATTAATTGCATTACAGACTCTGATACATACAATTAATTCTTGTTGAGCTCCATTTTCTAAAAGTTTGGACAGCCAGAAGTGTCCATAGTTGCGGAAATACCCATAATTGCATTATGGTCCATATCATGCAACCCTAGTAATAGTAGGCTAATGGTAATAATAGGCTACTAGTCTTGTCATACTCTGGTTGATTCCAGTAATTTGAACATATCCTTGTCTCTCTTTACCCCAGCTGGCTTCTTCACAGCCTTCAGACAGGCCTGCACATCGTACAAGTGGTACTGGGCTACATGCTAATGCTGTGCGTCATGTCCTACAACATCTGGATCTTTCTCGGGGTCATCGTGGGATCTCTGTTGGGCTACTTCTTTGCTTTTCCTCTTCTGAGTCATGTGAAGCGACAAACCTGAGCGATATGAAAGCAAGACATGAAATGGTAGTGTCTTCAAGTTTGTTTTAATTGTTTTATTCCAGAGCGGTGAACTAAAATGTCGTCTTTCAGTGTAGGCCTGCCGGTCTTCGACTTCAGTGCCAGAGTAGAACAGGTACTGTTTTACCATTGCATGTTCAAAGGTGGGGTGTTTTTAACAGTGCTGGGGTTTGTCAATACAGAGATGAATCCGTTTGTGTTTTTAAAGAAAAATGTGTTCTGTTTTAACAATCACATGAAATGGTGGGAGGTTGGTAGCAGAGCCAACGTGGGAACACTGTCAACTCATGTCCTACAACAGTGTTTAGAATAAAGGTTTTAACTTGCTCTCATTTAAACCAGGCAATTAGTGACTACATGAACATTGTGTGCCATGTCAGTTGAACTGTATGATTAGTGGTTATCTTGAATACATGTCGTCAGGCCTTGGACACCTGATCTGCTGTCCAAACAGTTTACACTTGAACTATTCAGCCCTGTTAATGTGTTTTACATTAAAGCAGCTGCTTCTCTATTTGTTGGTTTTGGTCAGAGTGGGTGCATGCAGATGACAGCAGTTTCAAACTTGTGATGGACGTAATGCTCGTATGAGTCACATTTTCTGTACTGGAACTAACAGTAGGGAATAGACGCTCTGAAATCATGTGGCCTTAGCTAATGTTCACCAGCAATACGTTTATGGTACAGGAGTGTGCAGGAAAGAGAATCCTTTAAAGATAAAAAATGACCTTCTTATCCACTACTGACAAACGGTTTTAACAACTTTTCTGTAAATGACTCTTGACCAGTCTCTACTATTTTTTTATTTTTAATTTTAATAAAATGGTTTGGCTAATATTTTTTGTTTGTTTACTGTTTACTTCACTGCTACTAAATTGTAAAAAAAAGAAACCAAAAAAAACCAAACCTACCGAAGCTGAAATTACAGAACTGAAATAGGGCTTAATGTAATACATAAACTTTTTAAACATACTGTTTATAGAAACTAAGCTTCCGTTGTGAATTATGTTTTTTTGTGATGTCGCAAAAACTAACGCAGTTACATATATTCTCTTATTCAGCCTACAGCCCATATACACTGAAGTTATAAGGAGTGTTTCCGCCCAGACTGCTTTTTGAGTGAGATACAATGCAGGACAGCCACTCAGAACAGAAGTCATTAACGTAACAGTCTTAAAGGTAGAGTAACAGCTTGATTAATTCTAAAGGATTGAGAGTGAACTATGACTTTTTGGTACATAAACCCACACAAATGTTACAAGCAGACCTCAAAGAAAGAAATAAACACAAACAAGGTATGATATGGGCCCTTTAAGGTAGTACTGACCGGTTTCCAGAAGTATTGGGCTCAGGCATTTTGTTATTAACGTCTCCAGACACATGCACACTTTTCTCTGCATACAGTAAACTGTTATGAGGCATTTATATGCTGTGATGTACTGAAACAACAGAGATAAAAAGGAGAAAAACCTTTTAAAATCAGTGTTATTTATTCATTCATCGCTGTCTTACAAAATAGATAGAAGTCTTAAACAATAGGTAAATATATATGAAATAAATAACTAGTGGAGGAAAAAGATTCACTCCAGCATGGAACTAGAAGGACCAGTTGATGTATCGAAAGAAGCAACAGCTAAACACAAAAAAGCTATTTTGCTATTTGATAAATCTGCTTTCACTTGGTGTCATTACATGTAGCAATTTGCCGTCAAAGGTTTTTAATTTCCAAAATTTTGACAACTGGACTGGGAAAACTGCTGGACCCACAGTTAAATAAAAAGGGCAACCTCTGCTCCTTATCCAGATAACAGGAGTTAGGGTCTGAGCTGGTGTCTGAGCACTGTCTTCCTGCAGGTCCAGCAAAAGAAAGGTGAACAAGACCCTCAAGCTTGGCTGAACACACAAGGATAAAGAGAAGTATGCTGAGTCATGGAGCATCAGCACCAGTTTTTAAATGGCAGTTTAGTCATGTCCAACCTCAAGACAAAGCTAGACATTACCAGGTTAGAGAGGTGTCACACGATCTCCAACACAATAAGATAACAAGCTCTTAAGTGCTATATGGAGGTCAAATGTGACAGCATTGTGCACAAGTTCTACATGAGCAAAACAACGATTTTCACTAAGAACTGAATTAATACAATGTAGAGAAGAGCTAGTGTTAAAATAATAAATAATATACCATTTCAAGACTATAAACATATGATAGGTCCTCTTTTCCCTTATGTTTACATATTTAGATTGTCAGATAATCAGTGTTGGAATATGGTCATATTCCATTGTCAGCAAATACAAAGCAAAACTCTGAGCTAAAACAGCACACAAGTATGGCAATAGAAAATTGTATCTATAATGCTCAGACAGCCTGACAGCCGTTTTTCATGCTGAAAGGACATTTGCTTCCCTCAAGGGATAAATTCTATAGTGTTACAAGTACTTGCACCACTGCCATATTCACACTGGTTTTTTTCCATTAGCAATCTGGAGTTAAAGGGGATTTCCATCGGGTTGGCAAAGAGGAGGACGTGAAATATTTTTAACCCCAAAAACCGTGACGAAGGTTAAGAACCTCTGGTTTTGAGATATGATTGTGGCATAAATGTTTAAGTCCATTCATTGCAGAGAGGTACATGCAGGGCATTGCAAAGAAAAACATTACTTAAAGAAAACATATTTTTCATATTTACTACTGTTTTATCATTATCAAGATTACATATAAAAATAAGATGTGTAGGTTTACTGGTCATTTTAGATAGTAAATAAAATGGCTATATTTAAGGTGTAGACATTGTGACCCCTGGCTCTTATCACTACCACTGTAAAGAAAGTCCAAGTTAGTATGTTTCTCTACAATGAACCAATTTACATGAAACTACTCTGAATGACTTTACATTTCACCACTGAATTTTGCAGAAATTTTGAGAAATCGGTGGATTTCCCCTTTAAGACTTCAATTTAAACTAGGACAGCTCTCTATATTACATCCACATGGAAGAGAAAATCTGAAATTTCTGAGAAATAGGTTTTGTGGTCATAAACAATAATATTTAAGGCAAAAGAAGTTATTAATATGAGCAGAAATAATGAACGTTAGACATAAATGCAGTTTTTGCTAAACATTTCCAAACAAAAAACTGACTACAAGAATAAGGAATTAGACAAAATGATTCTCATTTGACTGGCTGCAAAAAAAGCTTTGCTGAGAGATAAATAAGCCAAAAACAAGGAAATAAAAAAAAAAATAAAAAAAATCAGCTTCAAACTTTAATTTGAAATAAAAGAAAGAATGTTTCCTTTTTTCTTTCTCCTGATTCAAATTTCTGACACAACATCTGAATCATCCTCTGCAATTTCCTCTTTTGTCTCTCCTGTTTCATCATTAGACACTTTACCTTCCTGCTCCAATGTCACCATCACCTGCTCTGGATCCACAATTTCTTCTCCTGCCCTCAACTCCTCTTTCAATGGCTGAGTCTCCTCTTCTTCTCTGTGCTCATTGGTTGGAGACTGAAATCCACTGTCATCATGGTGTCTAGGACTGGAGTAAGTAGAGGCTGGGACTAGTTCTACATCAGAGTCTACTGCGCATTCCACCAGTCGCTCACCATCATCCTCCTCAACCACAATATCCAGCTCCTGGATGGCGCTCTCAACTGCTGTGTCCCCCGGCAACACCTCCGTCACCGTGGTGATGGCCTTTATCTCCTGCCCCTCCTCCAAATGCACCATTCCATTGGTTAGCACTGGGTCATCACCCTCTTCTGATAACGGAAGGACTATTTCCAGCACAGGGTTGATGAGCTGACGGATACCATCAACACTGTCTGGACTGCCTGGCTCTTTCGGGGCTGTTGACTTTGTAGGGCTGAGGGGCTGCTGGTGGAGATACTCCAATGTGCGGAGGGGCTTCTCTGGAACTTCTTCACTCACCTGTGCCTCAGTCTCCTCAGGTATCTCTTCCACTCCAGGTACTTCCAGGCACGACCCATAGGGTAATGGAGCCATGCCCTCTGGCACGATCATGGAGACGACCTGTCTGCGCTTTCTGTTTCCTAGTCCAACCTGCTCTTCTCCTCCTCCATACTGCTGGGCCCAGTCGATGGGGTTTTCTCCCAGTAAGTGCAGGTTAGGGTCACTGTTTGTCAGCACCATACTGTCCCTGTACAGGTTGTGCTTCCTCTGCACAGCTGCCTCCTTCACCGCTGTGAACAAGAAGCAGACGTTTAGCACATTTGATGGATCAGTATCAAGGGCAGACCAAAACATGAGCACTACAGTACAATGCAAAAGTCTTAGGGTACCTGAAAAAATTGCATTTTAAGCTGTTTATATGGGCAGTAAGAGCTCATTTAACATTTCAATAAATACAAACATTAATACAATTTAGATTTTATGTCTGTTTGTGTTTCCCAAACCTCTCCTCGAGGCTTTTAAGCTAATTGAAAAAAAAAACCTGATGCTAATATTTGACTTTAATGGCACCCTCTTGTGGATGATCTGTAGTCTGAGAAATGTGAGTTCCATGAGGTGCTTCAGTCTAAAAACAGTCTGAATTCTCTGAACAGCTGTTTCTATTTGTGTTTGCAGGCAGGCTACAAAAACATATATGTATAAAAATAAATATGTATATGTTTATTTTTACTATAGGCCTTAAGTTTTTACTGTATAGTACTTCAGCATGGAGTATCGAGTAGTGTTTTAGAATTGGCCATTTGGCTGAATGGCTAGAAGCTAACTACATTCCCGGCAATCTTATTACATCACCGTGGTGCTGCGTGTGTAAGGTTATTTGACACATTATGTCATTGCAGCCCTTAATGTTGTGCTTATAGCAGAAACTCATGTCATCTTGTATGTTGATGTAAAACACCTGTAGAATGAAATAAAGATATCATCAATATTTATCAATATGTTTGTGCTGATTTATTGATTGTTCAATATTGCTAATGGTCCCAGTCCTAATTGCTGGGTTGAAGGAAAAGAGAAACTAGACCTACATTCTTCTAACCATGTCACAATTTTCTTGTTAACTATGTTATTATTTTTGTTATTATTTTTATTTTTGAATGTATTATAATGTTTGTCTTTCCATGGAAAACAAACAAAACACTTTTCCTGCCCAGGTGAATGGTTTTTAAAAAAAATTCTTGACAGGCCTAACACTTTAGCTTTGGCTCTTATCTGCAGAAAGCATCTGAACATTGACATGCCAAGACCTGCTCTATGTTCTGAATGAGCAAATATGAATGCAATGAAATGGAACATGTACAGTCTTACCCATCATTATATCTTTGGTGACAGACTGCAGCACAACCTCTTCAAACACATTCTCCACTAAAATGAAGCGGGAGAAATCCTCAAAGATGAGCTCTTTGAACTTTGGCAATTCCTACAATAGATAGAACGAACAATATCAAATGCATGAGCAAAACATATGTGCCTTTAAGGAAGCTTTCTATAGTGTTGTAGAAAATGAAACCTACACACTTGGAGACACTTGGAACTGTTTTCATACTCACAGTAGAATAAACAGGGTAGAGCTGCTTCAGCATATATGGGATGATGACCTGCAGGAGTGCTTCTCTAAAGAACTTCTTACGCACTGTGCTACTGTCATAGTCATATTTCTGTAGGAGGGAAAACAATAGGAACAGAAGGAAATGACTTTTGTTTGAGCTCCACACAGCTTAAATAGTAGATTTCCTCCTTTTTTGCAGCTTCCTCTTTGAACAGTTCCCCGCATTGGACACTAGCACTTGTTGGAACACAGATCACTGACTCACCTTCAGTACACGATCCTGACAGCGCTGGATGATTTTATAGAGCTGCTCTCCTGA